ATTTTCACCTGTTATCAGATAATAGAGCATGTGGTAAATATCACAGAATTATAATTGGAGTGACAGATTTATTTGAAAATTTTCTGTTTCCTAAGTGTTGATGATTAAAAGCTCTGTGCTCTGTAGGACTGTATAAATATAGTTAGAAATTAACTGTTCATTATTAGACATTTTGAAGATAATTACAGATAAGTTTTATCGATTTTTAAAAGACATTGTATTAATGATAAATGACATTTTGGATTTTTTTTTTTCTTTTCTTTGGTAAATTGTTTAAAGAATTTTGTGGTAGGTTTGTTTGTTATTCTGTATAAATTATACTTTTCTGAATGCTATATATATATTTTTTTTTGATGAAGTGAAGTCCTTTAAAAACTAAGCTTATATTGTCTATTAATAAACATATATTTAGATTTCTGATTTTGGGCCAAGTTTTCAAGTTGGTCCAAATAATAATAAACATATATTTAGATTTCTGATTTTGGGCCATGTTTTCAAGTTGATCCAAATTGGGGTCCAAAATTAAACTGTGTTTGATTTCAACATAAATTGAATATATATATAGGGTTCTTTGAAATGTTGAATCTAAACCTGTATTTATTTTCATTATTAATTAGGTAATACCACATTTTCAAGTTGGTCCAAATCAGAATCCAAAATTAAACTTTGTTTGGCTTCAACAAAAATTGAATTTATGGGGTCCTTTGAAATGCTGAATCTAACCATGTATTTAGAGATTTTGGATTTTGGGCTCCTTTATCAAATTGGTCCACATTGAGGTCCAAATGGTCCTAAATTAAACTTTTGTTTGATTTCATCATAAATTGAATTATTTAGGTTCTTTGATATGCTGATTCTAACAATGTACTTAGATTTTGGATATTAGACCATAATAGGTAAGTGTCCCAATTTCTAATTTTTCAGTTCTTTGACCACATTCATTTTGCCTCACAAGCCTATGCTGTGTCAAATATTCAATCACAATAAATTCAGAGCTGTTTTAATCTTAAATGTTGTGTCCATACTTGCTCAACTGTTCAGGGTTCGACCTCTGCAGGAAATACGGATTGTTGTCACTCTGACAGCCTCTTGTTGACTTATATCTCAAAAACTAAAGCATTTAGAGAAAATCAGACAAGAAGTTAAAGTATTCATTAGGTCAAGGTCTACCTGCCCTGAAATTATCAGCCAAATTGGGTATCTGATTTTTAGGTTATTGCCCCTGAATTTATGATTTTTAGGAAAGTTTGCAGTTTTCAGATAAAGATAAACTGTAAACAGCAAAAATGTTCAGCAAAGTAAGATCTACAAATAAGTTTCATATGACCAAAATTGTCAATTTACCCCTTAAGGAGTTATTGCCCTTTAAAGACAATTTTTCACAATTTGTTCATCTAGTTTGCTTACATTAAAAAATCTTCTCCTTTGAAACTGCTGAGTTTCAGAGTATCTAGTATAAATTTTGTATTTTATTCCCCTGTACGTCAAGAAACATAGCCACTATGGCTAAAATGGAACAAAAGGATGAAATGCATTTTTTTGCTTTTGAAGAAAATATGACAGATACAAAGAACATTTAAATGGCATTTTTAAGCCACTCATTAATATATATTGAAAAGCAAATATAATCATTGATGAAAGATTTAAGCAGAAAATTAAAGGTGAGCGATTCAGGCTCTTGAGAGCCTCTTGTTAATTATTTATTTTAGACTTTTTGTAATTTGGATATATATTTTAGTATGTTATAAATCAAATATGAGATTTTGAGTCCAATCAGTGAACATAAATTTGACTGCTAATGCCCCTTTAACAAAAGTATAGATATTCACAAAACCTTGATTTTTGTACTTTCTAGTTCTATATAGTATTTGTACTTTATATAGATACAATATTTAGATCTATGACTAATTTGACCATTGACCAAATGATATCTAGAACATTTGTCATAAGAATATAAGTTAATGTTTTCCACAGATGTACTATACTATGAAGTATTTCAGGAATAATTACCTCCCTTCCTGACTTTAACTTTCCCTATATAAGTTTATAGCTGTCATTGATGCATATGTTTTATGACAGTTGCTTATTGCTGACTCTCCTTTATTTGCAGTCTATAAATTATGATTTATTTGTCTATATATTTAAGCATTTACAGCTAAAAGTTTCCAGAATAGATTCTTAAAGTTGTTTCTAAAACTGATATTTGTTTAATATAAGTTAAATGTTTATGAATAAATGTTGGGATAAGTATAGAAAATACTGATGACGCAGCAACTCAGCAACATTAGATCATTAAAAGATATGACACAATTGTGAGTCCCTTTATATTCTTCAGTGATAATCAACACTTAGATCATACAGGTTCTTAATCAGTTGAATCAACACTTAGATCATACAAGTTCTTAATCGGTTAAATCAACACTTAGATCATACAAATTCTTAATTGGCTAAATCAACACTTAGATCATACAAGTTCTTAATCGGCTAAATAAACACTTAGATCATAAAACTTCTTAATCAGCTAAATCAGCACTTAGATCATACAAGTTCTTAATTGGCTAAATAAACACATAGATCATAAAACTTCTTTATTGGATAAATCAGCACATAGATCATACAAGTTCTTATTCGGTTAAATCAGCACTTAATTCATACAAGTCTTAATTGGCTAAATAAACACTTATATCATAAAACTTCTTAATCGGCTAAATCAGCACTTTAAAGATCATACAAGTTCTTAATCGGCTAAATAAACACTTAGATCATAAAACTTCTTAATTGTCTAAATCAGCACTTAGATCATACAAATTTTTATTCGGTTAAATCAGCACTTAGATCATACAAGTCTTAATCGGTTAAATCAACACTTAGATCATACATGTTCTTAATTGGCTAAATCAACACTTAGATAATACAAGTGCTTAATTGGTTAAATCAACACTTAGATCATACAAGTTCTTAATCGGTTAAATCAACACTTAGATCATACAAGTTCTTAATAGGTTAAATCAACACTTAGATCACACAAGTTCTTAATCAACTAAACCAACACTTAGATCATACAAGTTCTTAATCAGCTAAATAAACACTTAGATCATACAAGTTCTTAATCGGCTTAATCAGCACTTAGATCATACAAGTTCTCTATCGGTTAAATCAACACTTAGATCATACAAGTCTTTTTAAAATCGGCTAAATCGACACTTAAATCATACAATTTCTAAATCGGTTAAATCAACACTTACATCATACATGTTCTTTTTAAATCAGCTAAGCAAGTTTATAATTAGTCTTTATATAAGGATGTATTGCTGTTTGCATCATATCCAGTGGCAAATATCTCATGCATTATGATTCAAGATGGTTGAATATCAGGATAAGCTTCAGTTTTTTGTTTTCATTGGTTAACATATATCATGTTTAGGATACTGGGTACAACCAAGCAGAATTAGAAGTAGAGTAAACATATTCATGCCATTCAAGTTATATTTTGATAATTTGCCTGTAAAATATGATTAATTGTTTTATATATGATTTAATGGTTTTGAAATATACCTTACTAATAGAAATAAAGTTCACTATTATTGGTATCTTCTATGATGAAAAAAAATGTTAATTGTTTAATTATAATAGATGTTTGATGGTTAACCATGGTCCATTTACAAGTTAGACAAGATAACCCTTGATTAATTGAGTTCTATTGATTCATTCCAACACTTAGTTTTCCATTCACAAATACTATGCAAATATCTTCTATATATAGCATAGTTCCTGACAGTATTAAATTGGTATGGATTTTCTTTAGTTCTGAGAAATAGATAATTAGATTATTTTGGTCCTTACTGTGGTGTCATTCACATTATGAATGAAAAGTTTCGACAAAGATTTCGGTTTACGATCCTTCAGGGGAAAATTTAAAACTGACATGCAATATCAATTCACAAAAAAAAAGATAAAACTTCTTATTTATTTTGTCTGTGGAGGTGGTTAATAGTTTTATATTATAAATGCAGAATTCCCTGAGTGAGGTTTAAATACTTTTTTTTTCAGGTAATATTTAAGAAGGAAAATAACAAATTTTTACCACAGTTTAAGGGTATTTTAAATCGTAACAACACTGGCAAATACAGTCACAAAGACTACATAAACAACTGGAAACTCACAGAATTTGTACTGGCGATATCCTGGAAATATAATATTGCTTTTGTCAATTATTTGGACTAAACCTTCCAACTTTATGGCAGTTAATTACAGGCCTATGGATCACACTCTAAATAATAGTCTATATCAAACAATGATGGTTGAGCCATCATTAGACCATTCTTTTGGCTTGAGATCAGGTTAGAATAGTTAAGTCTGAAGTATAAGTGCTCTCAACATGAATTGAAGTATGAATAAATGTGAACTACCATTAACATGTTAAAGCATGGTATGACCTAGATTTTACAGTCCAGTGATCCTATTTCATCATTGGTAGCTAGGTTTACTGTTTAATGATTGTCTTTTATGTCTGATTCATATTTTAATAGAATATATATTAGTGGACACAATTTCTTACAGACAAATATATTCCTCGTGTTAAATGGGAATAGTGGCTGTATCAATGTGGAGGTTGAAAAATTCATTTCACAAGACATATTTCCAATCATTTTTCTAGTCTTTCTAACAGCCAACATTAAGCAAATGGTAGAATATTAGATTTCAACATAAAGATATTCAATCACTTATCTACTTTGACCCAATCATATTGCTGAAAACCTATATGTCAGGTTACATAATTTACCCATAAGTTGATATTTCATGAATGTAACCTGTTGTTGATCCCAAACATACCTTACGTTTCTGACTTAATCATGTCACTGTTGTGTAACATAAGATCAAACTCCAAAGAAAAACAGACTATTGTGGAACTTCCTTATGTGTGACAGGAATTTGAGAGCTTTGTTTACAGTGACACAAGCCTATCTTCATTATTACCCATTTTTCTGTTTATATTTCAGATGGTGGATGTGATGGCCCTGTCTACCACAGTACCTCTAGTCCCGATACATTATTGGAGGTTAGTTTATCTTAAATAAGGTATATCCTTTATTATTTCAGATGGTCGTACTGATGGACCCTGTTTCCATGGTAACACCAGTCCAGACACTCTGTTAGAGGTTAGAGTTGTTGTTGTCACACTCTGTTTAACAAATTTTATGATTCTTATGCAATTTTTATGTAACAATTTTTTTCATTGGCTTAAAGTTTCCATCAAATCCACAGTTGACATGTCATAACTAAAGACTGACCAAGCATTTTCAATTGCTTCAATCAACAAATGTTTGATTACTACAATATTATAGAAATTAAAACAAGACATAACCCAAAAATGCCATTTTGATGTGTTTTTATCTAAATTTGAATGGTAGAAGTATCGTAATAGCCTTCAGTTTCAAAGTTTTCATTTGTATGATGTCCATGTGCCAAAATCATTCACAAAGTTTGCGGAATTTTATTTTATTTCAAAATTATACATTATTATCAAGTTCGAACGTATTATTTCATTTTGTAATGCATTAGAATCAGAATACAAAACTTTGGTTGAAGAGTTCCCGCTGCCAATTTTGATTTGAATGTAGCAAATATCTGTTTTACTGTCTCTACTACAAGTTACCAGTATTTTTCTTGTAAGCAATTTCACACCAACACTGATCTATGCTTATTTTATTTTTAATTTTAAGTTACCTTTATCATCCAACCTACATGTACACCTCTGCTCTCCCTTAAACTTATGAATTATCATAATACTGTGCATAATGAATAATCTGAAAAGTTGTTCAATGGATTAGGTTTCCCAACTGAGTTAGACTCTTATTCTGCTTCTGTGTTTTTGACTGGTCTGTCTTTTATATCAAATTTTCTTACAAAATAGGAATGTTTAAGAGTAATCACTATGCATATTAAATAGGTTTCTGTATGTGTATTGTGTTACCCTTTTAAGAGAGAGCATAATGCTATAATGTTCTAAGTTAATAATTGACAATTGTACATTGTAAGATAGCAATATGCCAAAAGATAGGATTCTGTTTTTCCAGAGTTATGCCCCTTTGAACTAAAATGGTTGACCCTGTTCAAATTTTGTATCTTGTAATTACCTGTTCATTAAACCTGGTACACTGTTTTAGTCTTTAAATTAAGATGTCCATTTCATATACATGTTCTGTCCTTTGCATGTTTCCAATAGTTTTACCCTTTGACCTTATAACTTAGGAATCTCTCTTCACAATAAACATTGACTTAAATTCATTAGAAAGCCTGTGTTCAGGGATTCAAGAAAACTTTAGGTTTTCATACAAAACAATATTTAAAATTGCTTAAGAATATATACACTTTCAAAACAATGAAAGTATAAAACTAGAGATAAATCTGTTGGACAGTGTATGCTGTATTCTTAAAAATTGGAATTTATAGAGGGAAGATCTCAGGATTTAAGATAACTGTTTGATTACATTTTTTTGTACTTTGATCAAATTTCCTTTCTTCTTGTTACACAATAGCAAAAGCTTTAAATTCAGTGGATAGATTCATTAATGCTGCACATATAACCTATATGTTGTAGCTTCATAGGAAGATGCATGTCTGTCAGTCTACATTTATTATGCTATTCTTTTTTTATATTATTTCATTTGTGAAAATGAATTATGCAATACTTTATTCATGGTTACTGGTATTCAACAGATGTTTTAATCAGACATGTTCAGTTTCATGTGGTTAATCAATTAATTACTCTGCTTTTTTGGTCATGGCATTTTCTGTCTATGTGGTTTTTGACTTGCCCTCTTGTCCACTTTACTGAAAGTGTAAATCATTATGTGCTTGTTACAGGTCACCTAATGTATCTTTTGTGATTGTTATGTGTAAGTTAATTTCTATATGTTAAGGACCCATTGTATATCTTTTTTTCTGGTTACAGGTCACCTAATGTATCTTTTGTGATTGTTATATGTAAGTTAATTTCTGTATGTTAAGGACCCATTGTATATCTTTTTTTCTGGTTACAGGTCACCTAATGTATCTTTTGTGATTGTTATGTGTAAGTTAATTCCTATATGTTAAGGACCCATTGTGTATCTTTTTTTCTGGTTACAGGTCACCTAATGTATCTTTTGTGATTGTTATATGTAAGTTAATTTCTGTATGTTAAGGACCCATTGTATATCTTTTTTTCTGGTTACAGGTCACCTAATGTATCTTTTGTGATTGTTATGTGTAAGTTAATTCCTATATGTTAAGGACCCATTGTATATCTTTTTTTCTGGTTACAGGTCACCTAATGTATCTTTTGTGATTGTTATATGTAAGTTAATTTCTGTATGTTAAGGACCCATTGTATATCTTTTTTTCTGGTTACAGGTCACCTAATGTATCTTTTGTGATTGTTATGTGTAAGTTAATTTCTATATGTTAAGGACCCAATATATATCTTTCTTTACCTGACCTCAAAGACTTAACAAACATTTTTAGAACCTAACTTTTATGCCAGGTAAGCATTCTTTGGAATCATCATCTTTTAGTTCTTTGTCTTCTCCACTTTCAAAGATGAATTGTTTTCTACCATTTGTTGTTCAGTCTGGTTTTGAGAGTGTTAGGATTGTCATATGTCCATGTTAATCTTTCACTTCACTAATTTATTGGTGTAAAGAGTATTGTTCATGTGATCTATAGAGCAATTTTGTCTGGTTAGTGTATTATTTTTGTTCTAAAACAATAGAGATTGAAAAATATCATGTTCTGTCTAATATGTTCTCAGGTGTTGTTTTCTAAATTTGAAACTAAAATTCAAAACATTCAAGATATTGTCTTGATTTATGCAGTATGTTGCAACTTAAGTTTACAAGTACATAAATGAAAAATCTCTTGATTTTTTATGAAATTTTGCATTTAACCAATATCTGGAATGCTTCAACTTTAATACTTTCCAATACATTATTTGGTTGGAAATTAGTCAGATAAAAGTGGAACTATAGATACTCATAAATATGTTATTTTATATCTGTTTTCTTTATCATTGTTTGTCTGTTTGGCAGATATTTAATTTGCTATATAGCTCTAAAAAGAGTAAAAGTTAAACATATCATTTTTGGTGCACCTGTAAAGAAACGCAGACACAGTTTGATGCTTATCCAGTGACTGCATTAAAAAATTTGTATAACAGCTGAATATTCCAGAAGTTAGAAGACCTGGATGCTTCATACCTTGTATACAGATGCCCCATAGTCCCATACTACCATACAAAGTTTCAGTTGTTCATTTGTCCATTATTCTTGACCTCATTTTCATGGTTCAACCACTGCTTAAAAAGTAAATTTTCATGGTCAAGTCCATATCTCATACTATAGACAATAGGTTAACTTATTTGGTGTATTGGATGATTGTATGGTGTACATGTTCGTCTGACCATGACCTCATTTTCATGGTTTATAAAGAGAGACATAGCAATCCTAGATTCCGTTGGCAGCATCAACATTTAGTTTCAGTCTGTGGTTAAAGTTTTTTTAGACGTTAATAACCTGGTCAAACCTTCAGATTGTGATAAACAATTAATTTCCCCATAGGTGACAATGATAGCCTTTTTCGAGATACAGACTTTAGAAAGTTGATTTTTTTAACGAAACCTTGCTAGAATTAAAGAAAAATTATTTGGACAGTATTTTTTAGTCCAAAAAATATAGGTTACTGTTGCTTTTCTTAACGTAAATTGTACTTATCTCCCATGCCTATCAATTTTGCACTTAAAAATGCGTGTCTCATCCTAGCGTTGAATAGATTTCTCAGTTCCGTTAGGGCTAAGGAAAATAATTTATTTTGCCTTTGGTATAATGCAGAGTGAACGAAGTCTCTAATAATAAAAAATAACGGGCACACATATCGACCAATCAGAATTAGCTATACTCTTAATTCTGAATACCATGTTGCTCCCATAAAATCTAAAGGTTTATTGTAACCTTCATGGATTTTTATGAAATTTGGACAGAAGCTAGTTTATGACCAAAATACAGTATCCAGAGCAAAATTTTGAAAATGTTTATTTTCATTTTTCTGTATTTTACTAAAAAATTGACTGTTTTTTTTTGGTTAACAAGTTGTTACAGTCATGGGTTAAGAAGAAAAGCATGGCTGATTGACAAAATTCAATGATGCAGTACTACCATAAACATAATAAATAGTAGTTTATTGACATTACCCTTACTGTAAGTTGTAACATATCATACACTACAGTGTTGTCATTCTTGTAATTAACAGGTTTGGAAAAACCCCCAAAGGAGGTATATCCCTTAAATGATGGACAGTCCCCCAGATAGGGGGTCACTTTTGCTGTTGTATAAAAGAAAAAAGAAAAACTTAGCTTTTTTAACTTAAAAGGGGGAAAAAATAATTATATTTGGAACAACTAAGAGAGGGATCCACTTATTTTTAAAAATAAAGAAGATATATATAAGTCCATGAATATTACAAAATTCTTTGACATGTTTTGACCATATAATACCAGATAGATGTATAGTTCTTTGGGAAAAGTTTCATCAAATAATATAAATATGTGCCCTTTTGTACTAAGAAGTGGTTTTTACAAAAAAATATTTTTTATCACTTGAAATATACCCCTCTTAAAAGGGATAGTCATTACATTGAAGGATTACACCTCATTTGAGGGGTTGTTTCCAACCTGATTAAATTACCAAATAATTGAAAGCACAATATGTACTATGCTTTTTTTTTCACAAGGACCAAATAAATGTCCTTCTTTGTGCATGATTTTAAATTGGGAAAAGTCAACAATCATTTAATATTCTTACAGATTCACAAGAAAATATAGCCTGGTACATGTATTCTAGCTACATGTTCATTTCTTCTACTGATACAAGTACTAGAATCATGCAGATAAAAAGAAGAAAAAGGCTTATAAGCTCATCATCAGTATACCATATAAAAAAAAGATATTGCACTTTTTCTAGAGCACAAAACAGCACGCTCAAAAGACGCCGCAGAGAATTGTAACCTTTGAAATTGTTGTCACAC